GGCCAACGCTCTATCCACTGAGCCAAACCAGTTAGGGCTAAATCCCTTCTTTAGATCCCTTCCTCTACATTACACCAATGCATGTCACTCTGCCTGTTGATTCAGAAACAGGAGAATCCCCAAGTATTCAGGTAGCAGTCTGGATCACATGACCCAAGTGGTAGGAAGTTTGCACAGCAGCCTGGACCTGTTGCAGAGCCTTCTCTTGCTCTGGACCCCACTCAAAACTAGTGTTTTTTCAGCTCATTTGGTACATGAGCTGGAGTGCCACATCCATATGAGAAATATGTTACCTCCCAAATTCAGAGGCCGAATAGACACTGTGTCTCTTTTTGGGTTGTAGGAGGAGTCAGATGCAACAACGTATCCTTCATCTAGAAGGGCTATCTCTACTTGCCTCACACCAATGGATCCCTGGAAATTTCACTGAGGTAAAAGTTCCATGAATTTTAGTCATATTTATTTCTCACACTCGGACATACAAATGTCTTACCAATAAGTCTTGAATAGTTGTTACTTGTTGCTCTCTAGGTCCAATCAACATAATGTCATTATGTAATGGGCCAGAGTGTAAGGGAAATGCTAGCTGGAAGCAAGCTGTGTTTGGTAGACCTTATGTATAGGGTGGAGAAGAGGCATTGGCCAGGTAAAGAGCTGCATACCAGGTACCAGGGAATTTTTAATTTGTTCAAGCAATGTAACCACGTCTGGTATAGCAACTACAATTGGAATTACCACATGGTGATTGTTTCTTTGACTCTCCATGCCCACCTTGACTTTGCCAATTGGTGCAATTATTTGGTTCCTGCCACCCTGCGATCCAATTACTCCTATTGCATTTAGGTTTCTCAATTCAGTGACTTCAGTTCCCACTGTGAAGTCTGGTATATAAGAAGAGTGATCACAAAGCTTTTTAAGGATGCTGGGGCTCCTCTCACACATTTATTTCTTACTGGTGAAGGGTATTTCTTCTGGACCCTTTCAGTGTGATAAGTAGGTCTTAAATGATAAATCCACTCTAGCATCCCCAAGCCTTTGAATCCCTTTCTCTACCTTAAACCACAGCATGTGCAGCATTTCTAATTCACTCACAGTGGGTCATCTTTTGATCTATTTTTTAGTCAACCAACCAAAGAAACTGTTAGAGTCCTTTCTAACTCCCCAAGCCACATGCAATATCAAATGCAGAATTTTTCTTAGTGAGCCATATCAATAAATTCAGCCTGATCTAACTTTGTGTTCCTTCTGCAATTATCCCACACCCTTAGATTTCGGTGTGCATAAATTAGAGATCTTTTGGAGTATAATGCACCTTTTCATTGCATCTCACCTTTGGGACTTGAGTCTAGTTCTAGGTCTAGAAGCAAAGATGGATGGGTGGTTGTGATTGGTCCTGAGGAGAATCAACATAGTCTTAAACGGCAACTACCTCAGGAGAAGCCATTATAGTTTTCTTAGGCAAAGTAGAGTTAATCCCTTCAGATGGAGGTGGAAAGGCCAATATCACTGTGAGAGGTCAATACCACTAAAGGTGGGAATGCTACTGTCACTGGGGGTGGAAAGGCCAAATCTGCTGGGGGTGGGAAGATGTCTTCAACTGGTGAAGAATACTCACCAAAATTTAGTGGGTCATTAGAGTCTTCATACACCTCCCCATCCCAAAGTATAATCCCATTCTTTCCCAAGAAATGCCCTCACTTTACCAATAGACACTGTGGGAGTTCAACTTGCATTGTAATTCAGCAAGTCCTAGGATGAGGTTCTGTATTTAATTTGCAAAATTTCAGGCTAAAGGAAATAAGGTTCCTTTGGGATACATATAAAGCTCTTACGTCATTTATGTAGCACTTGAGCTGGGAGGATTTGCAAAATTTCAGGCTAAAGGAAATAAGCTCTTACGTCATTTATGTAGCACTTGAGCTGGGAGTTTGGATCCCTGAGCTTATCTTTTTATTTTGCCACTTTGTCAGCAATATTAGGGGCAATGATTCAATGTAATTATTTTTGTTAATTTTCAAAAAATGTTTGAAAATATCATATAAAATATGAACTATCTCCTTACTTCTTATGAGTAATTGATTAGAAGTATCCAATGCAGCTATTTTGCATATCTCTAAAAACAGTTCACACTGTGAACTATCAGTACTCACTTTACTATTGAAAATAGAATCATTACAATTTTAAAGTCTAATTAGGTTAAAGAAATAATTCTATATTCTTGGTACCAAAACTTATATTAGTCAGAGTTTACAGACACAGAAGCTATAGGAGATAGATAGATAGATAGATAGATAGATAGATAGATAGATAATAGATGATGATGATGAAGATAGATAGATAGATAGATAGATAGATAGATAGATAGATAATAGATAGATAGATAGATAATAGATGATGATGATGAAGATAGATAGATAGATAGATAGATAGATAGATAGATAGATAGATAGATAATGAGAAATTGCCTTATCCAATCGTGGAGGCTGAAAAGTTCTATGATCTGCCATCTGCAAGCTAGAGATCCAAGAAAGCTGATGGTGCAATTCAGACCAATTTCAAATGCTTGAAAACCATAGGAGTCTAATTCTAGAACTCAGCTGACCTTCCCAAAGGGAACCCCTCAGGATGTTCCTAAAGGCCTGGATCAGGTATACTGAGGTGATGATAGGAAGGCAGGAGAGGGCCAGAGTATAACTAAGGCTTAGCTTCCTGAGATTGTCATCATATATGACTTTTCTGAAAAGGAGTTTCCATACCTTAGCAATATTAACTACCTTTATCGCTATTAACTACCTTGACCACAAAGTCCAAAATAATTAAACTTGCTTTTTTTAATATTATGATATATTTTCTTGTTAGATATTTGATATTACCTTCTTTGGGATATAATTAACTTTTAATGTGCTGATATCTTTTTAATTCAACCAGCCTGTTCAATAAAAACAGAGACATTACTTCATTCCTGGCACACAGTTCTCTGTATCTCACAAAGCCCTGCCCAGTGCAGCCTACTCTCCTGTGATCACAAATATGGGAAAATACTGTGGATATTAGAGAGCCCTGTATAGACATTAGTAGCTGTTACTACAGTATTAATTGATGTTGTAGGTAATCTAATAATTACCCTTATTTATGGTATATACTCTCCTCCAGGAACATGGCAACTGGTTAAAATTGGCCAGGCTCCCTATAGATGCCCTGAAATCTTCCCAGAATTTCTAGGACTTCAATCCTACAAGATTATCTAAGGAAAATTCATTACACTCTTCACTGAGAAGAGATGATATTAAAAATTAATGACCAGTTCAGTCCTCTGGGATGTAATATAATTCAGGGTAGGGGAGGAGGTCTGTCACTTTCTTTTTCAAGGGCAATTCACAACAACACTTTGAGTGGAATAAATCCCTGAAGCTTGATGTTCTTCTCCATTATAGAACATGAGCGTTGACAACATCTTTTAAAAGTAGCAATATTTCATCTTAAATTAGTGCATGTGTTTGTGAAAGAAAAGAGGTAGTGTGTTGTAAGACCTATACAGATGTTCATAACATTTACTCCCATGAATTTCACAACTAAAACTCTTAAAGAAATAGCTCAATGGAAGCAAAAAACTAAGGTAATGGATATATCTTACTAGTACCTTATCTATGATAAAAAGAATAATTAAAAACAATTTACATGCCCAATATTAGGGAAATGCTTAAAGAAATTATATTATACTAGCCAGAAAACACATTAGAAAGATATTAAAATTTAGCATTTTAAAATCTAAACACATACATGGAAAAATGTTTATGCCATAAGTCAAGTTAAAAAAAAAAGCAGAATAGAATATTTGTGCTCAGTGTATGTTTATACATGAATGACAGTAACATTTCCCAAATGGAAAGAGTTGTTTCACTGGGTAAAGATTTATGTTAAATAAAGAACACAGGTTTGGGATTAGAACAAAGTATGAGTTCCAACTCTGCCATACATTGTGTGACAATGACAAATTATGGAATCTCTCTAAATATCCATTTTCTTATTAGCTAAGATTTTTTGGTAAAAATCAAATCCATTTAAAAAGCCTATACTGTATATAATGAACTCAGCACCATTATTTCCCTTCTTCTTTACTAAATATTTGAGATTTTCTTGAAATGAGAAATTTTATTCAAGTGGATGATTTTTATAGAAATTTCAATTTCCCTGTTTTTGACCCAAATAAAATTTTCAGTAGGCTATTCAAAGTTAATAATGTGATAACTATTCTATAATTGGTCAATGATCTTTATATTTGAATGGATTTCAGAAAGATATAAAATATCCTGGATTGAAGGTCAATTTCTATATACAATTGAATATATAAAGCTAAGAATGGTATATAAATTATGATGATTTATTTTGTGTCACAGGATGCCCAAATAAAACATTATTTCTGAATGTGTCCGTGAGGGTATATCCAGATGAGATTAGTAGCTGGATTAGGGAATTAGTAAAGGTGGGCTGGCTGACTTCTTCAGTGTAGGTGGGCATCATTCAATCCACTGAGCACCAAAATAGAGCAAAAGTTGGAGAGCGAAGGAATTTATTCCTTTTCAGCTCTTTTTACTGCCTCAGTATTTGAGTTGGGATATCTCATGTCATCTCATCTGATTTTATCTGGCTCTTGAACTGGGATTTAATACCAATTTCACACATCCTTGGACATCTCTAGAACTAGACTCTTTTAGCAACTTGTGAGCAGATGGCTGTGCCCAATGATTCTATACCACTCTGGAGCAAAAGACTTCTCCTGTACCAGAGCCATCCACATGTAAGAACTTTACTCAGGTCAGAGGGTGCAAAGTATCAAGTTATAAGAATGGACAGTGAAAGGAGTTGCTGATTCAGGCAAACAAAAGTATATCCATTCATTCTACAAATACTTATTGGAACCTACAAGTATCTGGCACTGGGTGCTTATAATCGAGATATAAAGGAAAAAGTGGTAAGCAAGACCACCAAAAATGACTTACCCTGGTCAGTAGGTGGTTAGCATCAAAGCCAGATCTTCAACCCAGATCATCTGACTGACAATCCATTTTACCCAAGGGTCCATGAAGACATTTTTATCACCTTTGCCTTATTGAAGTTTTCAGTCTTTTTCTCTGAAAGAAATGGTGGAAATATTTCTCAATGCACAAGTAGTTTTTAATCTTTCTTATTATTATTATGATGATATTCTAAGATTATAAGTTCTTTTTCATTTAATATGTATCCTTCAATGAAATGAACTTGAGTAACAGGTACTTAAGTATCTACAATGTTTCAAAAACTATTACAATGCTTCAAATAATGGTAAAAATATTAAAGTTGTGTTGTTTAAGATAGCCACATATGGCCAACTGATTTAAATTTAAATTATATAAAATTAATTATTCAGTTTCTCAGTTGTACTAACTGCATTTCACATGTTCAAAAGCTACATGTTGCCAGTGGCTACCATATTGAACAGCACAGATATAGAACATTTCCATCACTGCAAAAGATCTGTTGCAAAGTATTATATTGAAGCCATGAACCGCTTCCCACTCAGTATTGTAAAAAAATGAATTAACTGGCAAAATATTTTTTTCAACACATTCGGCCTTGAGTAATAGATATTTACAAAAGGACATGCAGGAAGAGAGATCTTACTGAGAAGCAGTACAAGAGGGATACAATCATCTTTCATTCTCCTTCTTCCCTATTACAAGATTAAATGCTTAAATGGCATTATTTAAATACTTCAGGTACTCAAAAACTTTCTCTCCCTATAACCAGAGTTTGAAAAATTTTTCCATAAGTTGTGTGAAATGGTTAATTTACATTAAAGATTCACTATAGTACTCATTCTCATGCACATATATTAAATATGAAACAAATAAACAGTACATGCTAAAGAAAACACATAAGATTTTTATAGAAAGGCAAGTTATTTCCAAGTGGGTATTCAAATAAAGAACCAGAAAAAAAGATACAGTACTTTTAACTACAAATAATAAATTGTCCACATTCCTTTTTTCAAAATTAGAGAATTTCAGAGAAAATCATAGAAGCATAAAATATTTTTAAATAATACATTTACAGTAGTAAAAATGTAGAAAACCTAAATGTCCATCAATCCAATATTAGCAAAATAAAATAATCACTTTCATACAAAGTGATATTATATAATCATAAAAGAGGATGACCCAAAACCTGAAAATATAGTCTTCTCCCAAGAAGGAACAGTGTGATTGCATATAAAGGAAATAAGTGTGCTAATACAAAAAAGAAAATGAAAAGATAAACAATGATTGTTAATGGTTGTTAATGGTTGTTTAAAGTTTTATATTGGTTACTCTAGTCAATAGTATTATAGTATTTGCTATTCTTTTTCCCCCTTTCTCTCTTCTCTCTATCCCTCTCTCTCGGTCTCACTCTTGCTCTCATTTTGCTCTCTCTTATTCTCTTTCCCCAGCTTTGCTGTTTGTTTTTTCTTACATTGAAAATGTACAACTATTATAACAGAAAATGTACAATATACTTTTAAAATAAAAAAATATTTTCTCTTGCTGGATACCTTTTAGTACAGAGTTCAAATAACAAATACATGAATATATGAGCAAATGAATAAACAGAGAAATAAATATAGCTAACTTTCCCAACACACCTAATATGTAATAAAAGCCTAAGCGACCATTAAAGTGGAATGACCAGAAGGACCGGTTGCTATGATGCACATTGACCACCAGGGGGCAGATGCTTAATGCAGGAGCTGCCTCCTGGTGGTCAATACGCTCCCACAGGGGAAGCACTGCTCAGCCAGAAGCTGGGCTTGGCTGGCAAGCGCAGTGGTGGTGATAGGAGCCTCTCCCACCTCTGAGGTAGCGCTAAGGAGCAGCAAGCCAATCAGTAAGGAGCAACGAGCAGGTGGGCGGTAAGGAGCGAGGGGTCTCGGACTGCGAGGACTGTGAGGAGAAAGAAAATTAATACCTGGGTGCATTAGAGGGAAACTACAAAAAAAAAAAAAGAAACAAAGGAAGAGAACATCTTAAAAGTAGTCAGAAAACCAGCAGGCAAACATCCCCTGAGGGGTCCTGGACTGCGAGAGGGCACAGGCCGGGCTGAGGGACCCCCCCGCCAGTGCATGAATTCCATGCACCAGGCCTCTAGTATAATTATACTATTTTTGTTGTTTTGGGACACCTTTAGTAAATGAAGTAGAATTTATTTTTAAACATCTTATAACAAACACATCTACAAGGAATCAAACTTTCTGTTAATTACTAGCCTTTATTAATATTATAAAAGGGCCAATTAAAAGAGCAAGAAGATTTTACAAATAAAAATGGAACAGCTGCTATATAGATTTATACTGTAGCAATATGTCCTGATAGGTATAGGTCTATTCCCAAAGTTTGAGTTTTAATTGATTAAAAAACAAACAAACTTAAAAGGTAACATTTAAATCAATAATGATAAACAAAGCAGTCTACATTTCTATTAGTTTGGTCACCTTATTTTTATATCTCTGTTTTCTCAAATATTTACTGTGCAAACTGCAAGCAATAACTGAATTTTCTAAGGGACACCTTTTTAAAGCACCTGAAAAATTGTAAATTTTTCTCTCATTCTAAACCTTAATGAGAAGAGGTTCTGATGATTACTACAAAATGGGGAGGGAAGAAAGAAGAATAGATGAAGGGGGTGAAGGGAGGAAAAATTCTAAACCATTTCAGTGAAGTAAAGATCAATTTCATTTTCATATAATTTTTAATGGTTGTTCAAACCCCTATAATGCACCCACACAAAAGGCTTCAGTTAATGTGTGTGTATTTTGAGCAGTTCCTTCTTCCACCCTCCAGTTTAATTTCCGTCCTTCAAATGAGATGAATGGAGCGTGAAGCAGGTCATATCTCAATGCTGACACATGGGCTGCAGATAGAACTCACAGACTGGAGAAGCAGCCAGCTTGGAGATTAAATCAAAGCAGCTCTGAATAGATGGGAGGTCAGCCAAGGCCAGCTTTGACATTTGATAGGACCTTGTGATCAACCAGGCCTTTCTTCCCTCTTCCCAGCTTCCTTATAACAGTGGCCCTAAAAAACAGATGGGATATGTTACCAAGTGCCCGAGAAGTACTAGATTGTGAAAGGAGATAGGTGTCCATATTATCAAAGGGACAACTGTTATTTGAAGCAGCCAGCAAATCAGAAGGCCCTGCTTTGCTGCAATTGCTGCGTTCAAGTTTGCTTTTCATGATGTGAAATGAAACCCAAGCCTTGAGAAGGGTGAGCTAATTATTAAACTGCTTTTTAAAAACTTCTTAACTCTGACGCATTAAACTGTAAACTCTGAACATTCCTGATATCCTAGGATTACATTTTAGCCAGTCTTTACTCTGTGAATAATCTGTGTTTCCAGCAAGGCCAAGCTTAGTTTTTGCTCTACTTGTTTGTTTCTTTGCTTATCTTTGGGAAATACACACAATAAACACACACACACACACACACACACACACACACACACACACACACATATAAAATGAAGACATGCTAACCTTTGGGAGAAAGGAATCAAAGGGTATTTATGCAGAGCGCTCGCTGGGCAGGGGCCTGAGCATGGTGTCAGGAAATCCCAGTCACGTCGCCAAGAGGGTCATGAAAAATGAATGGCCCCAGAGCACCGCTGTGACAGACTGTTTTAGTGAGTGGTAATGGGCCATCTCCAGGATGAAAGGCCACGTATTTATAACTGTGCAGGCTACTGGGCATCACACCATTCATTATGCCTGCTTGATTTAAGGGAGATGCCTTTTACCAGGGTGACATGGGAGCAAATTATTTCCAGGAATATCACAGCTCTCTTCCCCCCTCCACCTACCTCTCCATCTTGCCCATCCGCATTCCAGACATATACACAGGCTCTCACATCCACACAAGCACATTCTCTGACTTTTTTTCTGCCACAGAGCATTTCACAGTCAGTGCTATCCTCTCCAAAATGTCTCACCCCAATTTACATGGAAATGGAAAAGCTGGGGTGTGGGAGCCTGGCTTCAGGAGGGCTGAGATAAGGAGGAATAGCACGAACTCGCCCCACTACCTCTCCTCCATCAACTGTTTTAATGGGAGCCAGAAAGCTGAGGTCAACTGGTTAATTTGCCAAATGAGTTTCTGAAGTTGGCTTTTTGCTTGACATAGACTCCATCTTCACAGAGAAGTAAGCATTTGAGTTCCACTTTGCCCCTTGTTGCAGTTAGATGTGTAAAATTACTCAACTTCTCTGGATTATTTCTAATGAGAAACTAACCGATTGCACAAAATTCTAAGGAAATTGTCAACATTAATACTTTATAATGTCCTGAAATCTCAATAAGATAGAAACATAATACAACAAATTATTTCAACCAACAGATCAGATATTCTGGTAAAAATAATTAATCTCAAGAATCTTGCTGATGTAACTAACTCACTTTAAATGTACAAAATCCCATTTAAAAAGAGAGTATGGCCCGGCCAGCATGGCTCAGTGGTTGAGCATTCAACCTATGAACCAGGAGGTCACGGTTCAATTCCTGGTCAGGGCACATGCCAAGGTTGCAGGCTAGATCCCCAGTAGGGAGCACACAGGAGGCAGCCAATCAATAATTCTCTCTCATAATTGATGTTTCTATCTCTCTCTCTCTCTCCCTCTCCCTTTCACTTTGAAATAAAAATATATACATATATTTTTCTAAAAAAGAGAGTATAAAAATCTATCAGAAGAGTTATCATATAAGTTGTTTATAACATATGATTTAGGTCTCAAAGTGTTTTTTTTAATGTTATGTTTCACACAAGTATATTAAGAAAAAGTTCATATAACATACTTGAATTTTAACTGAGTTAATTCAGCTGCCATCTTAAATATAGCTGCAATACATCAGTGGTTAAAATAATGTTTCTACAACGGTATCTTCATGGTCTGTGTCAACAGGCATTTTTTCAATGGGACAGTATAGTTATGTTGATAATACTTCCCAGAGAGGATCATAACACAACTGAGAGATGTTTGGATTATGAAGTGCATGGGTCTGTTTGTGTATATTTAATATATGCAAATTTGTGCCCTGATTCTGGCCCCCAAGAGCTCAGTTGTCTCT